CAGGGTCTCGCTGTGTTGCCCAGACTTGAGTGCTGTGGCACAATCATAGCTCATTGCAGCCTCCAACTCTCAGGCTCAAGCGATCCACCCTCCTCAGCCTCCCAAGTAGCTGAAACCACAAGCACGTGCCACCATGCCCGGCTAATGAAAAAAATTTTTTTTTCATAGAGACAGGGTCTGACATTGTTATCCAGGTTGGTGTCAAACTCCTGGGCCAAAGTGCTGGGATTACAGGTGTAAGCCACCACACCCAGCCAGAGCTCAGCCTCTGTGTTGTATAGTTTTGTGAGTTTTGACTATGGTATAATGTCAGATATGAGCCATTAGATTATCATGCAAAAATAGTTTCACTCCTCACCCACCAAATCACACAACTGCCAATCTTTTTATTGTCTCTATAGTTTTCCTTTTTCCAGAATGTGATGTAGTTGGAGTCTCACAGTATGTAGTCTTGTCTTTTTTTTCAGTATGTAATGTTTTCATACAGGCTTCCTTCACTTAGCAATGTGCATTTAAGGTTCCTCCATGTCATTTTGTGGCTTGATAGCTTATTGTTTTCTATTGCTGAAGAACATTCCATTGTCTGGATGTTCCACAGTTTGTTGATCCATTCACCTATTGAGGGATGTCTTGATTGCTTCCAGTTTGGGGCAGTTACGAACAACGCTGCTATAAACATGTGTGTGCAGGCTTTTGTGTGGACTGAAGTTTTCAGCTCAGTTGGGTGGATGCCTAGGAGTATAGTTGCTGGATTGTATGATAAGATTTTATACATATATATATTACAATCATCAAATAGATGCAGAAAAAAATACTATATTTAGCTTTATAAGAAACTGCCATTGTGGATTTTTTTTTTTTTTTTTTTTTTTTTTGAGACAGAATTTTGCCCTTGTCTCCTAGGCTGGAGTGCAGTGGCACAATCTTGGCTCATTGCAACCTCCGCCGCCCAGGTTCAAGTGATTCTCCTGCCTCAGCCTCCCAAGTAGCTGGGATTACAGGCACCTGCCACCATGCCCAGCTAATTTTTGAGTTTTTAGTAGTGACGCAGTGTCGCCACGTTGGCCATGCTGGTCTCAAACTCCTGATGTCAGGTGATTCACCTGCCTCGGCCTCCCAAAATGCTGGGATAACAGGCATGAACCACTGCACCTGGTTTATTTTTCAAAGCCTTTATTTCTAACTTCCCAGCTTTTCCTCCCTGGCGTTCAGCATGTCAATTGTTTGCCCCAGTCAATATCTTTTGTGCCAGGCTGCAGCGTCTAGTTCATTTGACTTTAATGTTTGTAACAAATGCCCTGCACGTAGCCACACTGCACCCCAGAGAGTTCCAAGTTAGGCACAAAAAAGGCAAGATCTTTGCATTAGGCTTTCAGGGAGCCACTGACAGGTCAGACAGACAGACAACCACTGTTCAGTGATTCTTGTGCCTCAGCCTCCTGACCTCAGGTGATCTGCCCACCTCGGCCTCCCAAAGTGCTGGGATTACAGTCATGAGCCACTGTGCCTGACCCAGTCTTTTATTTTTCACAGGTCTATTCAGAAATTCTGTTTCTTGGCCGGGCGCGGTGGCTCACGCCTATAATCCCAGCACTGTGGGAAGCTGAGGCAGGTGGATCATAGTATCTCCTGACACTGTTCAAGATCAGCCTGGCCAAGATGGTGAAACCCGTCTCTACTAAAAATACAAAACAAAATTAGCTGGTCCTGGTGGTGGGTGCCTGTAATCCCAGCTACTCGGGAGGCTGAGGCAGAGAATTGCTTAAACCCAGGAGGCGGAGGATGCAGCAAGCCGAGATTGCGCCACTGCACTCCAGCCTGGGCGACAGAGCGAAACTCCGTCTCAAAAAAAAAGAAAGAAATTCTGTTTCTTCTTGAGTCAGTTTTGGTAATTTGTATATTTCTAGCAATTTGCCCATTTTAATCTGTTATCTAATTTGTTGTATCTAATTTAAATAACTAAGTTAATGTATCTAAGTTATCTAATTTTTAAATTGTCTGAATACAGTTGTTTATAGTATTCTTTTATAATCCTTTTTATTTTTTCTAAGGTCATTAGTGATGTGTTTCCTCTTTAATTGCTAATTACAGTACTATGAGTCTTTTCTCTCTTTTCCCTGCAGTATTTTAAAGTAAACTCTACTCCCCCAACCCCCGCCACCCATTTTGGGGGGAATAAATTCTACTAGTTTAGATGTTATGTGGTTTATTTTTCTTCTCTTGGTGGTTACACTTAGATTCTTCTAGTGTGCAAACTTAAAAGTATGAAGTTATCATCATCTCTTTTTTTTTTCCCAAATGACTCAAAACTTTTAGTCATTTTTTGGACCAGCGTCTATAAGGTAGATTCTTAGGCCTTGTGTGTAAAAGTCTATAGGCTCCCAGGCTGAAGTGATCGTCCTGCCTCAGCCTTCTGAATAGCTGGGACTACAGATAGATGCCACCATGCCTGGCTATTATTTTAATTTTTTTTTTTTTTTTTTTTTTGAGATGGAGTCTCGCTCTGTCGCCCAGGCTGGAGTGCAGTGGCGCGATCTCGGCTCACTGCAAACTCCGCCTCC